TCCCCTATACTCAAGTGTTGCTTGAGGTATGGGATATCTTCCTCCTAACTGGTATGTTCTAGAACCGAAGACTCTAGATGTTCTGGGAGCACTAGAATTTTCTTCAATTTCGGATTTAGTTGGAGCACTAGGGTTCCGGTTAGGATTCTGATTTGGATTTTGAGGGGTTACATTCATGAATATTTTTTCCTGTTGGGATTCGTATTCATGAATAATTTGAAGTATGGGTTTTTGATTTTGAAGTAAGCCTCAACTGGAAGTTCTAGATCTAGAATTTGATCCTCAATGTCTTCCCCATGGTATTTTAGTGTTAAGACTTCTTCAGCATTAACTTCTTTTCCTTTTGAAGAAAAGTAAGTTTCAATGAATTCCCATTCTTCATTATATTTGTCTTTGATTGGTCCCCATTTTGCAAAATGTTCTTCCCTTTTTCTTAAGGTTTGAAGCCAAGAAGGTTCACTTTCTTCATTTTCAATTTCTTCAGTGAGGTGTAGCATCTTGATTTCAATTGTTTCTTCATTTTCTTCTTGTTTAGGAAGAATATTTTCATAATCACTAAAGCTTAGACTCGTTTCTCCCTTATAATTTTGATATAAGGTATTTCGAGTGGGTACCATTATGGGCTTGCTGAGGAATTTAGTTATGCTCCATTCAGTTCCATTCAGATAGGTTGAATCTAAATGTTGAGCTTGAACGGCCTTAATTCCCTTTGTTTCAAATATTTCACATATTTCTTCACTGGTTACTCTATAATTGGTTGTGCCATTATGAGTTATTTGGCCAGTGAATCCTATGCAAACTAAAAGGTTTTTTTCTCCCTCAGCCATAAAATAGCCTTTAGTCATGATTCCTATTTTTAAAAATTGTTTAAAGGCTTTTATATCCATTTGGAAATTGGGAGTAAAATAAGCAAATCCCCCTTATTCAGATAGGTCTATTTCGATAGATCCTATAAGGGATTGAATCATATCCTGATATCTTGTGTCTAAAAGAGTTAAAAGGCATTTTGTACCTAAACCCTTTTTATGAAGTGTTTTGACTCCTATAGTGATTAACCCTATGTGTACCAATGAATATTTCATTCTTTCGAGACTAAAATATCTATTTTCACTTAACAATCTTAGGGTAACACTATCACTGTCTTTGACACAGGAGATTTGAACTTCCTGATAATGCTGAAAGATTGATCCAGCACTAAACAGAGAATTGGCATTTTCATAAAGATACTTGGGTTTGACCAAGTCAAATTTATGAGTTTTGAATCTTTTTATTTGTTCTTCAAGATCTATTAAAGTTTCGACTTTTATAGATTCTTAAATTTGTTTTCCTTTGGAGAACATCCTAATCAGAGGGTTGCCTGTGATTTTAGATGATTCCATGATTTTTGGATTTTAGGGTAACACAAGGTAATTTCTTGAGACTTTTAGTTCTTTAGCCTTTATGTGGGGTAAAGACGACAGACTAGATTTTATTTGTTTAAGATCTTCTTTTATGCTAATGATTCTTTGTAAATTTATTATTTCACTTGCTTCCTGAAGAAGATCTTGTTTCTTAGTCTCTTGACCTATTTCTACAGTTCTTAAGTGAGTATCTTTTAAAAGATCTTTTATGTTTCTTATTTCACTTAAGATTTCTTCTTGGTTTTAAGGGATTCGTAGTAGCAAAATAATTTGGGTATTCTGCTGTCCTACTAATACCTGATCTTGGACTGCTAAGGGTTGAAAATTGGTTAATCCGTAGGGATTTCCTAATTTTCTTGCTTCTTTTAAAGCTTCTCTGTAGTTTGAATTTTGAGTGAAAGGAGTTTCACCCATTCAACCCAAGAATTAATTTTTGAAGCTTTTGGACCTGTTTAAACAACTCTTCTTAATTTTGGATCAAGGTAGTTGTTTGATGACAGAGGTTTTGAACAAATTGATCTGGTCCTTTGTTACTCAGAAATTGAGAATTAATTAAATTGATCTTGTTTTCGACAAATTCAATTTGTTGTTGCAAGTAATCTTGATTCTCAATTAGTTTCACAATATTTTTGTTGTAATGCTTTTCAAAGTTTTGGAACCTTTCGAGCACTACTTTTTCTTTTTCTTTTTGTTTTTTATAATTTTCTGAAAAATTTATAATTAGATCTACTATGCTATTTAACTAGCTATTATCAGAATGTAAATTATGACTAAAACCTGGAAAA